ACACTATCAGTCTGTAAAACATTCAGCTTGTTACACTTTCACTTTGTAAAACATTCACACTTGTACCACTATCAGTCTGTAAAACATTCACACTTTTACCACTATCAGTCTGTAAAACATTCAGCTTCTTACACTATTAGTCTGTAAAACAGTCAGCTTGTTACACTATCAGTCTGTAAAACATTCAGCTTGTTACACTATCAGTCTGTAAAACATTCACACTTGTACCACTATCAGTCTGTAAAACATTCAGCTTGTTACACTATCATTCTGTAAAACATTCAGCTTGTAACACTAGCAGTCAGTTAAACATTCAGCTTGTTACACTATGAGTCTGTAAAACATTCAGCTTGTTACACTATGAGTCTATAAAACATTCAGCTTGTTACACTATGAGTCTGTAAAACGTTCAGCTTGTTACACTATCAGTCTGTAAAACATTCAGCTTGTTACACTTTTAGTCTGTAAAACAGTCAGCTTGTTACACTATCAGTCTGTAAAACATTCAGCTTGTTACACTATCAGTCTGTTAAACATTCACACTTGTACCACTTTCAGTCTGTAAAACATTCAGCTTGTTACACTATCATTCTGTAAAACATTCAGCTTGTAACACTAGCAGTCAGTTAAACATTCAGCTTGTTACACTATCAGTCTGTAAAACATTCAGCTTCTAACACTATCACTCTGTAAAACATTCAGCTTGTTACACTCTCAGTCTGTAAAACATTCAGCTTGTTACACTATGAGTCTGTAAAACATTTAGCTTGTTACACTATCAGTCTGTAAAACATTCAGATTGTTACACTATCAGTCTGTTAAACATTCAGCTTGTTACACTATCAGTCTGTAAAACATTCAGCTTGTACGACTAGCAGTCAGTTAAACATTCAGCCTGTTACACTATGAGTCTGTAAAACATACAGCTTGTTACACTATCAGTCTGTAAAACATTCAGCTTGTTACACTATCAGTCTGTAAAACATTCAGCTTCTTACACTATAAGTCTGTAAAACATTCAGCTTGTTACACTATCAGTCTGTAAAACATTCACACTTGTACCACTATCAGTCTGTAAAACATCCACACTTGTACCACTATCAGTCTGTAAAACATTCAGCTTCTAACACTTTCAGTCTGTAAAACATTCAGCTTGTTACACTATCAGTCTGTAAAACATTCAGCTTGTTACACTATCAGTCTGTAAAACATTTAGCTTGTTACACTATAAGTCTGTTTAACAATCAGCTTGTTAAACTATCAGTCTGTTAAACATTCAGCTTGTTACACTATCAGTCTGTTAAACATTCAGGTTGTTACACTATCAGTCTGTAAAACATTCAGCTTGTTACACTATCAGTCTGTAAAACATTCAGCTTGTACCACTAGCAGTCAGTTAAACATTCAGCTTGTTACACTTTAAGTCTGTAAAACATTCAGCTTGTTACACTATCAGTCTGTAAAACATTCACGCTTGTACCACTTTCAGTCTGTAAAACATTCACACTTTTACCACTATCAGTCTGTTAAACATTCAGCTTGTTACACTATCAGTCTGTAAAACATTCAACTTGTTACACTATCAGGCTGTAAAACATTCAGCTTGTTACACTATCAGTCTGTAAAACATTCACGCTTGTACCACTTTCAGTCTGTAAAACATTCACACTTGTACCACTATAAGTCTGTTAAACATTCAGCTTGTTACACTATCAGTCTGTAAAACATTCAACATGTTACACTATCAGGCTGTAAAACATTCAGCTTGTTACACTATCAGTCTGTAAAACATTCACGCTTGTAGCACTTTCAGTCTGTAAAACATTCACACTTGTACCACTATCAGTCTGTTAAACATTCAGCTTGTTACACTATCAGTCTGTAAAACATTCAGCTTGTAACACTATCAGTCAGTTAAACATTCAGCTTGTTACACTATCAGTCTGTAAAACATTCAGCTTGTTACACTATCAGTCTGTAAAACATTCAGCTTCTAACACTATCAGTCAGTTAAACATTCAGCTTGTTACACTATCAGCCTGTAAAACATTCAGGTTGTTACACTATCAGTCTGTAAAACATTCCGCTTGTTACACTATCAGTCTGTAAAACATTCAGCTTGTTACACTATCAGTCTGTAAAACATTCAGCTTGTTACACTATCAGTCTGTAAAACATTCAGCTTGTTACACTATCAGTCTGTAAAACATTCAGCTTCTAACACTATCAGTCAGTTAAACATTCAGCTTGTTACACTATCAGCCTGTAAAACATTCAGCTTGTTACACTATCAGTCTGTAAAACATTCCGCTTGTTACACTATCAGTCTGTAAAACATTCAGCTTGTTACACTATCAGTCTGTAAAACATTCAGCTTGTTACACTATCAGTCTGTTAAACATTCAGCTTGTAACACTAGCAGTCTGTAAAACGTTCAGCTTGTTACACTATCAGTCTGTAAAACATTCAGCTTGTAACACCATCACTCTGTAAAACATTCAGCTTGTAACACTATCAGTCTGTGAAAGATTCAGCTTATAGCACGTTCAGTCTGTAAAACATTCAGCTTGTAGCAGCATTAGTCTATAAAACATTCAGCTTGTAACACTTTCAGTCTGAAAAACATTCAGCTTATAGCACTATCAGTCTCCAAATATTCACATTGTAGCACTATCAAATCTGTAAAACATTCACACTTGTACCACTATCAGTCTGTAAAACATTCAGCTTGTTACACTATCAGTCTGTTAAACATTCAGCTTGTAACCTCAACAGCTTGTTTACTATCAGTCTGTAGCACTGTCGGTCTGTAAAACATTCACACTTGTACCACTATCAGTCTGTAAAACGTTCAGCTTGTAGCTCTGTCTGAAACACATTCAGCTTGTAACCCCAACAGCTTGTGAACTATCAGTCCGTAGCACTGTCGGGCTGTAAAACATTCACACTTGTGCCACCATCAGTCTGTAAAACGTTCAGCTTGTTACACTATCAATCTTCAAAAGATTCAGCTTGTAACACTATCAGTCTGTAAAACGTTCAGCTTGTAGCTCTGTCTGAAACACATTCAGCTTGTAACCCCAACAGCTTGTGTACTATCAGTCCGTAGCACTGTCGGTCTGTAAAACATTCACACTTGTACCACTATCAGTCTGTAAAACGTTCAGCTTGTAGCTCTGTCTGAAACACATTCAGCTTGTAACCCTAACAGCTTGTGTACTATCAGTCCGTAGCACTGTCGGGCTGTAAAACATTTACACTTGTGCCACCATCAGTCTGTAAAACGTTCAGCTTGTTACACTATCAATCTTCAAAAGATTCAGCTTGTAACACTATCAGTCTGTAAAACGTTCAGCTTGTAGCTCTGTCTGAAACACATTCAGCTTGTAACCCCAACAGCTTGTGTACTATCAGTCCGTAGCACTGTCGGTCTGTAAAACATTCACACTTGTACCACTATCAGTCTGTAAAACGTTCAGCTTGTTACACTATCAATCTGCAAAACATTCAGCTTGAAACACTATCAGTCTGTAAAACGTTCAGCTTGTAACACTATCAGTCTGTAAAACATTCAGCTAGTAACACTATCAGTCTGTAAAACATTCAGCTTGTTTCACTATCAGTCTGTAAAACATTCAGCTTGTTACACTATCAGTCCGTTAAACATTCAACTTGTTACACTATCAGTCTGTTAAACATTCAGCTTGTTACACTATCAGTCTGTACAACATTCAGCTTGTTACACTTTCAGTCTGTAAAACATTCAGCTTGTTACACTATCAGTCTGTAAAACATTCAGCTAGTAACACTATCAGTCAGTGAAACATTCAGCTTGTACCACTATCAGTCTGTAAAACATTCAGCTTGTTACACTATCAGTCTGTAAAACATTCAACTTGTTACACTATCAGTCAGTAAAACATTCAGGTTGTTACACTATCAGTCAGTTAAACATTCAGCTTGTTACACTATCAGTCTGTAAAACATTCAGATTGTTACACTATGAATCTGTAAAACATTCAGCTTGTTACACTATCAGTCTGTAAAACATTCAGCTTGTTACACTATCAGTCAGTTAAACATTCAGCTTGTTACACTATCAGTCTGTAAAACATTCAGCTTGTTACACTATCGGTCTGTTAAACATTCAGCTTGTTACACTATCAGTCTGTTCAACATTCAGCTTGTTACACTATCAGTCTGTAAAACATTCAGCTTTTACCACTAGCAGTCTGTTAAACATTCAGCTAGTTACACTATCAGTCCGTTAAACATTCAACTTGTTACACTATCAGTCTGTTAAACATTCAGCTTGTTACACTATCAGTCTGTAAAACATTCAGCTTGTAACACTATCAGTCAGTTAAACATTCAGCTTGTTACACTATCAGTCTGTAAAACATTCAGCTTGTTACACTATCAGTCTGTAAAACATTCAGCTTGTTACACTATCAGTTCGTTAAACATTCAACTTGTTACACTATCAGTCTGTTAAACATTCAGCTTGTTACACTATCAGTCTGTAAAACATTCAGCTTGTAACACTATCAGTCAGTTAAACATTCAGCTTGTTACACTATCAGTCTGTAAAACATTCAGCTTGTTACACTATCAGTCTGTAAAACATTCAGCTTGTTACACTATCAGTCTGTAAAACATTCAGCTTGTTACACTATCAGTCTGTAAAACATTCAGCTTGTTACACTATCCATCTGTAAAACATTCAGCTTGTACCACTATCAATCTGTAAAACGTGTAGCACTATGAGTCTTGTAGCACTATCAGTCTGTTAAACATTCAGCTTGTAACACTATCAGTCTGTAAAACGTTCAGCTTGTAGCTCTCTCTGAAACACATTCAGCTTGTAACCCAAACAGCTTGTGTACTATCAGTCTGTAGCACTGTCAGTCTGTGACCATATCAAGTTGTAGCAGAACCGTTATATGCTATAAAGCAGTGCCGTGAATACCGCTACTACATCCGAGGTGTTACATACTTACATGGAGCCCATCCCCACCCACCTTCAACTTTACAGCTGCGGCACACACACCCTCCGAGCGTGGTGAAGAAACCGTTCATTGTGCCCCCCGAGGGACAGTCCAGTGACACCACGCGTAGGCTTTGCACCTGTCCTACACAACAATTGCACGTCTGGTTGATGTGGGGTGTGGGGGTAGAGGCTGTGGATGATGACATGTTGGTAGCCGCCAGGACGAGGAGGGGGGTAAACTCGCTGCGCCCACATGATCCCATGCAGTAAGTAATCTTGACCGGCTGTGACGTCTTGCAACCGTACACACTGTCATACAGGTACTCCTTGCGAATGTGCAACGCGCACTTGGGTTCAAACGGTAACTCCTCGCCTAGAAGAGTAAGTGGAAACGTTGCGTAACACAGACGTATTTACACCATTGACTTTCTGGATAAAGAATTCTGCCTGGATTTAAGACAGTGCTGGTTAAGAAGACAATCATTATCATCATCATCATCATCATCATCATCATCATCCGGGTTACACCGGGTTTATGGTTTTGGTGATCAGTGTTTTCTTCGATCACCAATATAAACTTCTTCTTTTTCAAGATGACGCGTCGCGGTGTAACTGAAATACTGTTAAAAGCGGCGTCAAACCACACTTTCTCACTTGAATGTATAAGGAACGTGGTCGGCCAAGCACTGTAATGCGTCGTAATTCGTTATACATAGTTGCGTCCCTTAGGCGATCTAGGATGCATTGATCATGGGTTCGAATCCCAGATTTGCCAGAGTTATGATCCTTGGTTTGTCAGCACCAGACTTGTGCTCGTCGGTGTCAAGTTGAAACATTAGGCTGACTTGTAATTACTGAAATACAGTTTAAATCAGTGTAAAATACAACTTAATCTCTGGAATCAATGAATGCATATCAATCTTCGAATAAATGTCTATTCAAAGAGCCTATATAAGACACCAATATACACAGCGTCTCCCTAGGGGATCCTGGAATAGCCTTGTAGCAACAACCACCTTGTAACATCAGGAAAAGAGACGGCCTTTTGAGCAGCAGGCGCTATGTTTGCCCTCAGGATATGAACATATACTAAAGGTTTCATTTAACAATGCAGCATCAATAACACAACGCAATTATGATCAAACCTGCTTCAGTGTATATGTGTATTCAAGCGTGTGTATGTCTGTGTAACGCACCTTCCCGTATAACAGCTAGCTTAGCTGTGAGCTGGCGACTAGACATCTTGTTTTTGATAGTGCACGTGTATAAACCAACGTCATCCTTAGTAACTCTGTCCAGCACAAACATCTCGGCCCGTCTACTGGTACTGGGTTTCTGAAACAGAACACATTAAAGCCCTGATTACAACAACGTCACACCAATAACACATTATTCTAACGTTCATTTTAGAAAATTATTTAGGTATAATTACTAACATTAATATTGAGATATCCTCAAGTACACTCAAGACTTCGGAAAACAGTCTTCTATTCACCATTTGTAGTCAAAAGCCAAGAACACTGGCACGTTTATAAATCGCCACTGTTGCTTATTAATAAATCGGTACAGCTGTTTGTTTATATATCGCCACTGTTACTTATTAATAAATCGGTACAGTTGTTTGTTTATATATCGCCACTGTTGCTTGTTAATAAATCGGTACTGTTGTTTGTTTATATATCGCCACTGTTGCTTATTAATAAATCGGTACTGTTGTTTGTTTATATATCGCCACTGTTGCTTGTTAATAAGTCGGTACAGTTGTTTGTTTATATATCGCCACTGTTGCTGCTGCTAAATAATAAATCGGAACAGTTGTTTGTTTATATATCGCCACTGTTGCTTATTAATAAATCGGTACAGCTGTTTGTTTATATATCGCCACGGTGGCTCATTAATAAATCGGTACAGTTGTTTGTTTATATATCGCCACTGTTGCTTGTTAATAAATCGGTACTGTTGTTTGTTTATATATCGCCACTGTTGCTTATTAATAAATCGGTACAGTTGTTTGTTTATATATCGCCACTGTTGCTTGTTAATAAATCGGTACCGTTGTTTGTTTATATATCGCCACTGTTGCTTGTTAATAAATCGGTACCGTTGTTTGTTTATATATCGCCACTGTTGCTTGTTAATAAATCGGTACAGTTGTTTGTTTATATATCGCCACTGTTGCTTATTAATAAATCGGTACTGTTGTTTGTTTATATATCGCCACTGTTGCTTATTAATAAATCGGTACAGTTGTTTGTTTATATATCGCCACTGTTGCTTGTTAATAAATCGGTACAGTTGTTTGTTTATATATCGCCACTGTTGCTTATTAAAAAATCGGTACTGTTGTTTGTTTATATATCGCCACTGTTGCTTGTTAATAAATCGGTACTGTTGTTTGTTTCTATATCGACACTGTAGCGTATTGTCTGCATAGTGAAGGGTACCTGCAGGATGTCCACACGTGGACTGTTCCCCTTCTTCCGCGACCACTCAATAGTTGGCCTGGGGAAGCTGTCGGTGCTGCAGCCGAACACTACGGTGTCTCCTATCTTAGCGGTCTGGTTTCTCGGTCTTTCCTTGACTGTGATCTCGGACATATCGTGAGTAGATCCTGCAACACACACCCGTGCCACGTATTCAGGTTACATTGTATATATGTTAAACAGGTAAGGGAGCGATATGGCACAAGGAATCCAAATGCAGAACTATTGCAGAGATGATGTTCTTAATCCGATAAAGTTGTAATAGATGAGAAAGAGTTAAAGGGTTTGCCGAGTACCCACCAACAGTCTTACATAACTAGATTGGAAGAGATACCTTGTGATGGATCTCTTGGTAATGATTAACAATAAGTGTTCACCTAATACCCTCAGCGTGAACGTCCTGTTGAGAGATCCGAGTGTGTTGTAGACGGTGCATGTGTATTGTCCGGAGTCCGCCATCTGAAGCGAGTTGATGGTCAGACGGTACGACCTGCGCCGGTACTGTAACATACGCAGTGTAAGGGCTTAATTAATGACAAATACAGTTTACGAATGTAGTGACGTATGTATGTATGTATGTATGTATGTATGTATGTATGTATGTATGTATGTATGTATGTATGTATGTATGTATGTATGTATGTATGTATGTGTTGATTAGTAGGTATGTTTTTGAGGAGTTTTATAGCGAGATACAGAAGGACGATAACCCATCTGTACGCAGCAGAAGCGCGAAAACCCACACAATCTGTACGCAGCAGAAGGGCGAAAACCCACACAATCTGTACGCAGCAAAAGGGCGAAAACCCACACAAACTGTACGCAGCAAAAGGGCGATAACCAACATGTACATGTACACCGTCTGTATGCAGAAGAAGGGAGATAAACCTAATGAACACTATCTGTACGCAGCAGCAGAGCGAAAACCCACATGTACACCGTTTGTACTTGAGCGAAGGGGGATGACCCACATGTACACCGTCTGTACGTAGCAGAAGGGAGATAACCCACATGTACTACGCCTGTACTTGGCAGAAGGGGAATAACCCACATGTACACCATCTGTTCTCAGCAGAAGGGAGGTAACCCACAGGTACACCGTCTCTATTTGGCAGAAGGGCCATAACCCACATGTACACAGTCTCTACTTGGCAGGAGGGAGATATCCCACATGTTCACCGTCTCTACTGGGCAGAAGGGAGATGACCCACATATACACCGTCTCTACTTGGCAGAAAGGCCATAACCCACAAGTACACCGTCTCTATTTGGCAGAAGGGAGACAACCCACATGTACACCGTCTCTATTTGGCAGAAGGGAGACGACCCACATGTACATCGTATCTTCTTGGCATAAGGGCCATAACCCACATGTGCACCGTCTCTATTTGACAGAAGGGAGAAAACCCTTATGTACACCGTCTCTACTTGACAGAAGGGAGATGACCCAGAAAGTACACCGTCTCTTCTTGGCAGAAGGGAGACAACCCACATGTACACCGTCTCTACTTCGCAGAAGGGAGATGACCCAGATGTACACCGTCTCTACTTGGCAGAAGGGAGATAACCAATATGTACACCGTCTCTACTTGGCAGAAAGGCCATAACCCACATGTACACCGTCTCTACTTGACAGAAGGGAGACAACCCATATGTTCACCGTCTATACTTGGCAGAAGGGAGACAACCCACATGTACACCGTCTTCACTTGGCAGAAGGGAGATGACCCACATATACACCGTCTCTACTTAGCAGAAGGGCCATAACCCACATGTACACCGTCTCTACTTGGCAGAAGGGAGATGACCCAGATGTACACCGTCTCTATTTGGCTGAAGGGAGACAACCCACATGTACACCGCCTCTATTTGGCAGAAGGGAGACAACCCACATTATCACCGTCTCTACTTGGCAGAAGGGAGATGACCAACATGTACATCGTATCGATTTTGGCAGATGGGAGATGACCCACATGTACACCGTCTCTACTTGGCAGAAGGGATATAACCCCCATGTACACCATATGTGCTCAGCAGAAGGGAGATAACCCACATGTACACCGTCTCTATTTGGCAGGAGGAAGATGACCCACATGTACACCGTCTCTACTTGGCAGAAGGGAGATGACCCACATGTACACCGTCTCTACTTGGCAGAAGGGAGATGACGCAGATGTACACAGTCTCTACTTGGCAAAAGGGAGATATCCCACATGTTCACCGTCTCTAATTGGCAGAAGGGCCATAACCCACATGTACACCGTCTCTATTTGGCAGAAGGGCCATAACCCACATGTACACCGTCTCTACTTGGCAGAAGGGCCATAACCCACATGTACACCGTCTCTACTTGGCAGAAGGGCCATAACCCACATGTTCTCCGTCTCTACTTGGCAGAAGGGAGATATCCCACATGTACACCGTCTCTACTTGGCAGAAGGGAGATGACCAAGATGTACACCGTCTCTACTTGGCAGAAGGGCCATAACCCACATGTACAAAAGGGCGATTACCAACGCGTAAATCGTAAATGATGTGGATGTAATATCCACACGGCCCTTATTAGTCTTGCGAGCCATCTGTGATGAAGTCAGTGGAGCCTGCAAGCGACAACATATACATATAGTGACCTACCTTTTTGGATTTTTTGGTATTAAGAAGATTGCCGCTTCTGTACCACCTGTAGCGAGGTCTGGGATTAGCTCGGGCCTGACACTTTAACACCACCGTGGACTGCTCCCGCTCCACAAGTACTGTCTCCTTCATGCGTCGTCGCCAGCGGGGGGGCCCTGGGTCGCCAAGATGTAGCAAATAAACAGGGAACATTATAGCCTATGTACGTTTGGTTTGATTGTAATGTAAACTGCGAACAGTTTAAACTGTGTTTTTACACTAATGGTCATTCTTTCTCACGAATTACAAATATGGATGTCAAGGCCATTTCCTCCCGGCTAACGTGTCATGGTGCAACAGAAATCATGTTCAAAGCTCACTCATGTTTTCCTTGATGCACATATTTTTAGCATAAAATAAAAAATTTTGATAATAAAAAACATTATTTCTGTCGAGTTTACCATACGTTGTTAATAACAGTTGTGACATTGACAGTCACAGGTACACTTATGGATTTTTTTTTAAAGCTGACTAGATTGTGTAACGATTTTCTACATAAAAAATGGCCATACTCAGCTGATAGCTGTTATTGATAACCCCGTGGGGATTTCGGGTTAGAATAGGTCCCAGCAACCTATGCTGGTTGTAAGCAGGGACTTAATGGATCGGGTGTTCAGACCCGATGACTTTGTGGATTGCGTGTCAACGTACCCCGACGGAATGCATCGTTGCTAATAATACTGGAATGTCTGCTATGTGCGGAGTTAAACAACAAACAAATAAACAAACGAATCATTTCGGGGATCTTTTCATTACGTTAGTATGACAAGACGTTGATAAAAAAATATAAAAACATGAAATCTTTAATTCAGGTGAAGTGAATTCACCGTTGTTATGCTTTTTAAAGGTTCTAATCTAACCGTCTGTTTCAGGCTTTGAGGTTCTCCTGAATACGATAGCTCCCATGACATTCAAATGTGCGTCAGTATCGTACTATGTGGGAGTTGTATTAGACAAGTACGATTCGTTAGCAATGACATCTCGATCAACGATACCGCCAGGGTCACCTATTAGTCTACTGGCGACAAGTAAACCTAGTCTCTTCTTTCGCGTGGCTTCTGGTGATAAAGCAGTAAGAGCGTTTTCTGCCTCGTGTTCCGGGTGTGTATGCGGCTGACGCATGTCTCCCCTCAGTACCAGACATTTATCCTCAAACTGCTGTGTTTTGTGTGGTGTTTCCTTCAAACACCTTGATTGGAAATAACACACTGTACATACATGCTACAATTGATTTAAAAAAATGATAAAATCCTTCTTTGGGAGTATGTAACATGGTATGTTATGAACACATTATCAAGAATATACCGGTATCCACTTTGGGTGATTTCGTTAGTACTGACTAACATTGATAACAATTCGTTGGACATACAAACAGATTTAGTATATTATTAAAATATTTCTGTTGTCTTACCAACTGATGCCTTTTCACATTTCTTCCCTCCCTTTTTTTTCCTACATTTCCCGTCGGCCCTTGCAACAAGCATCACCAGCAGGCAGCACACCAGCAGTGCGACCCTAAGGCGCATGCTCACACTTCGGGTCGTCCTTTAACCTTTGACATTAGGCTCGCCACGATGAACGCGCAACTGAGAACACAATAGCACACACATGTTATATCTGTGACATGAACACTGGCATTCGATGTAGCAGTGTACAGAATTAAACTCACCAATAAATGCGAATTTGTATCTATTACTCCCAAGTAACATTATTAGTGCAGTCGAAACAATCAGTACAAAATTATATACGTGTGATCAGGAGATGACATATCCCCCGATCGGGTAAAATTCGGAAATGGAGTTGGGCTGCTTATCCCCAATGTTTGACTCATTCCAATTGAATGCCTTCAGTTCAGTTCAGCGGTTTTTTTAAATCATCAAAAGGCACCAGTTCACAACTAGACTGATCTGTATGGCACGTTTCATTTAAAATTATTCAACGGCTTTTGAGTTCTGCTCCGGAAACGAGCACCATCCTCATCTTCAGTAAATTCCAACTTGTCATGAAAACACAAAGAATGAATTTAAAAAAACAACACCCAAATCATCAATACAGGCACGAGTTCACCATTTGACCGATGTGTATAACATGATTCAACAAGAAATATTCAGCGGATGAGGAGCTCAAGAAACAGAAAACGGACAGACCGACATGGACATACCACCCCCATCCATCCCCAACCACCACCTCGACCACCACCCCAACCACCACCCCAACCACCACCCCGACCAAAGACGAGTAAATACTGGGAAAGTGTTTCTAACAATGATCGATCTGAATGTGTATTTCCGGCCAGCGTGCGGGTCATAATATCTTCGCAGGAATCTCATTCGCAACACTTAAAAAACATAAGAAATCGCAACCTATTTCGAAAGGAACGTTCCTTTCAATTTGATATAAATAAGTACTCTATTACTTTGCAACTGGAATTCCCATAAAAACCTTCATGTAAATATGGTCTCCTATTCAAGAGCATCATTAATGTTTAAGCGGAAAGCAAAAGAGGTAAAGCACGAGAAGAGGGTTGCTGTTTGGAAAGGGGTGAAAGGATTCAGCCATCCTATTAATCGTAAACGGCCGTATTCCGACGTATAGCAATTTAGAAAAGACACAAATAACCTAACTTCAAACGCGATTGCACATTCAAGTCTTATTTCTCATCCATCGAGGTGATTTTATGTTCACTGTGCCAAACACAGAAACTCACAAACACAAACATATACTCGCCAAACACTATTGTTTTTTAGTTGGTGATATTACTTTTACCCTACACGATGATATGCGACACATTCGCTCTTCGTGTGATACATAGTGGATCTTCCCCTCAAAGTGTGTATCTATCACGAATGCATGTCGATCAGATGCTGTAGACGTCAATGACTTTCCTGTCAATGCTAGATTTTCCAGTTTTAGGCTTTTGCTGCTATCACATTTTTTTTTATGGTTGTCATGTATATCAACTACAAACATGGTTTGCATTGTATGTTGTAACAGAACAGCCACAACCCCACCATTTCCTAGATGTTACAAAACTTTCCCATCAGTAACACGTGCAGTACAACTTTGAAATAAAACGTCCCATGCTTCTAGCTACTTCAGTAACAAAGTTATGATCTTCAAGGTCAATTAAGAAATCACACACCATACTAACAATACATCCTGAATGAAACTATTTACAAGTCATTTTATGAGTGAATGAAGCGGACTTTGAAGTAATCGTGAGGTATGATAGGCATTGAGTTAATTATTGAGAGTCAATCAAAAGTAATTGGAAAATGCTTAGATTTATCACGAATTAATCTTAAGTCTTAACCCTGTTTAATAATTTTACCACTAGCGAACTTGGGGTTACACCGAGGTCACTCAAACGATGATACGATCGAGACCCCGCCTCAGGAGTGAGACGCCATGTTATTCTAAGTTTCTACTAATCCCATATAGAATTACTCAAGTTTTCTCATGCTTAAGTTTTTTGACGCCCAGTTCATATTAAATGACCATGACCTTCAAGATCACCGGATCAAATGTTATAACATTACCTTGGGTACAAAGTGGGCGGTATATCAGGTATTAAGTTAAGAAAAACAATAGCGGGGGCGGCAACCACATTCGTGACATTAAGCAACCCACCTTATATGTAGAGGCTATTTAAATATTGATCTATCTGAGCCTACATGAATAAATGATCTACCAGATGTACATCTCTCGTGATACCTACTCAAATCTGTCGGAACGCAAACGTGCATGATACGTCGGTGTGTTTATCTCTCGGGACACCCACGTGCATGATCTGTCGGTGTGTTCATCTCTCGGAACGCCAACGTGCATGATCTGTCGGTGTGTTCCCGGGACGCCCACGTGCATGATCTGTTGGCGAGTTCATCTGTCGGGACGCCTACATGCATGATCTGTCGGTTGCACATATCTAGTAACGCCTACATGCATGATCTGTCAGTGTGTTCATCTCTCGGGACCTCTACATGCATGATCTGTCAGTGTGTTCATCTCTCGGGACGCCTACATGCATGATCTGTCAGTGTCTTCATCTCTCGGGACGCCTACGTGCATGATCTGTCAGTGTGTTCATCTCTCGGGACGCCTACGTGCATGATCTGTCAGTGTGTTCATCTCTCGGGACGCCTACATGCATGATCTATCTGTGTGTTCATCTCTCGGGACCTCTACATGCATAATCTATCTGTAGGTTCATCTCTCGGGACGCCTATATGCATGATCTGTCAGTGTGTTCATCTCTCGGGACGTATACATGCATGATCTATCTGTGTGTTCATCTCTCGGGACGCCTATATGCATGATCTATCTGTGTGTTCATCTCTCGAGGCGCCTACATGCATGATCTGTTCGTCTGTTCATCTCTCGGGACGTCTACATGCATGATCTATCTGTGTGTTCATCTCTCGGGACGCCTATATGCATGATCTGTCAGTGTGTTCATCTCTCGGGACGTATACATACATGATCTATCTGTGTGTTCATCTCTCGGGACGCCTATATGCATGATCTGTCAATGTGTTCATCTCTCGGGACGCCTACATGCATGATCTGCCCGTGTGTTCATCTCTCGGGACGCCTACATGCATGATCTGTCAGTGTGTTCATCTCTCGGGACGTATACATACATGATCTGTCAGTGTGTTCATCTCTCGGGACGTATACATACATGATCTATCTGTGTGTTCATCTCTCGGGACGCCTACATGCATGATCTGTCAGTGTGTACATCTCTCGGGACGCCTATATGCATGATCTGTCAGTATGTTCATCTCTCGGGACGCCTACATGCATGATCTATCTGTGTGTTCATCTCTCGGGACGCATATATGCATGATCTGTCAGTGTGTTCATCTCTCGGGACGCCTACATGCATGATCTGTCAGTGTGTTCATCTCTCGGGACGCCTACATGCATGATATGTCGGTGTGTTCATCCCTCGGGACGCCTACGTGCATGATCTGTCAGTGTGCTAATCTCTCGGGACGCCTACGTGCATGATCTGTCGGTGTGTTCATTTCTCGGGACGCCTACATGCATGATCTGTCAGTGTGTTCATCTCTCGGGACGCCTACATGCATGATCTGTCCGTGTGTTCATCTCTCGGGACGCCTACATGCATGATCTGTCAATGTGTTCATCTCTCGGGACGCCTATATGCATGATCTATATGTGTGTTCATCTCTCGGGACGCCTACATGCATGATCTGTCCGTGTGTTCATCTCTCGGGACGTCTACATGCATGATCTATCTGTGTGTTCATCTCTCGGGACGCCTATATGCATGATCTGTCAATGTGTTCATCTCTCGGGACGCCTATATGCATGATCTGTCCGTGTGTTCATCTCTCGGGACGCCTACATGCATGATATATCTGTGTGTTCATCTCTCGGGACGTCTACATGCATGATCTATCTGTGTGTTCATCTCTCGGGACGCCTATATGCATGATCCGTCAGTGTGTTCATCTCTCGGGACGCCTACATGCATGATATGTCGGTGTGTTCATTTCTCGGGACGTCTATATGCATGATCTGTCAGTGTGTTCATCTCTCGGGACGCCTACATGCATGATCTGTCTGTGTGTTCATCTCTCGGGACGCCTACATGCATGATCTGTCGTTGTGTTCATTTCTCGGGACGTCTACATGCATGATCTGTCTGTGTGTTCATCTCTCGGGACGCCTATATGCATGATCTGTCAGTGTGTTCATCTCTCGGGACGCCTACATGCATGATCTGTCAGTGTGTTCATCTCTCGGGACGCCTACATGCATGATCTGTCAGTGTGTTCATCTCTCGGGACGCCTACATGCATGATCTGTCCGAGTGTTCATCTCTCGGGACGCCTACATGCATGATCTGTCTGTGTGTTAATCTCTCGGGACGCCTACATGCATGATCTATCTGTGTGTACATCTCTCGGGACGCCTATATGCATGATCTATATATGTTTATCTCTCGGGACGCCTACATGCATGATCTGTCCGTGTGTTCATCTCTCGGGACGTCTACATGCATGATCTACCTGTGTGTTCATCTCTCGGGACGCCTATATGCATGATTTGTCAGTGTGTTCATCTCTCGGGACGTATACATGCATGATCTATCTGTGTGTTCATCTCTCGGGACGCCTATATGCATGATCTGTCAGTGTGTTCATCTCTCGGGACGTATACATGCATGATCTATCTGTGTGTTCATCTCTCGGGACGCCTATATGCATGATCTGTCAGTGTGTTCATCTCTCGGGACGCCTACATGCATGATCTGCCGGTGTGTTCATCTCTCTGGACGCCTACGTGCATGATCTGTCAGTGTGTTCATCTCTCGGGACGCCTACATGCATGATCTTTCTGTGTGTTCATCTCTCGGGACGTCTACATGCATGATCTATCTGTGTGTTCATCTCTCGGGACGCCTACATGTATATGCATGATCTGTCAGTGTGTTCATCTCTCGGGACGTATACATGCATGATCTATCTCTGTGTTCATCTCTCGGGACGCCTATATGCATGATCTGTCAGTGTGTTCATCTCTCGGGACGCCTATATGCATGATCTATATGTGT